TTTATATATATATATAATATATATATATATATAAATATATATATATAATGATTTATTATCTACTGATTAGCTTGTGACGTATTCGAACCATGAAAAAAACAAATAAAATAAACTTAAAACAGTCATTAATTTAGTCTCTTTGTATGTACAGTACTTTCACAATTAATCAAGAGGTTTTTCCTTTTCTGCTTCTCTTTTTGAATTTCACTTTTGCGCAAGTATTGCGACTACACTATTGTGAGTGGAAATACTACCGTCTAGTTTATGATCAAACAGTACTAGGGGAAGCACACAAAACATTAGTTAGCACTTTGATTTCACAAGAATAAAGGTGATTTACTTAATTTATCAGTATCAGCTCAAGGAAAGCGAAATAGAGGGGGAATGGGGACACTTTCATAATTTTCTAGATGCCCTGAAAGGGCACTCATAGCACTCTCAGATTTAACTTCTAATTATAATTTTCCTTTTTTTTCAAACAACTTTTTTGGTGGCTCGGCGCCACTTGAATGCGCCACTGATTATTATTACGTAATTAGAGAGTACTGTTTTCATGTAAATTTCTATTTTTTAATTCTGTACTGTGCATGTGAACATTTTGAATGGAATTGTTTGCGCTTCATTAAATACAGTTATTATTATTATTATTATTATTATTATTATTATTATTATTATTATTATTATTATTATACAGTAAATTATGCCTATATAAGTACACTAAAGTCGAACACGGACTATAAATGATACGGTATCTGCCAGCTGGTATCGACTACAAACTTGAAAGTAAGTCAAAACTAAATGTGACCATACAGTCTATACTGTATATGCATTTAAATAGGCTATTAACCATTGAAAAAATACCCTTCTATTAACAACCGATGCCCTTCCCCAAGCTCGGCTCCTCAGCTTTCTCATGTTATGCATAAAACCAGCTTCATATTATATCTAAGTTCCATGTGTTTCCGCACAAACCGAACATTAATAATTTATAGAACGTCTTTAGCACACATTTATAGGCACCAAACTCCTTAACTGCAATAACGTAACGAATCGAATAAGAAATCAAATAAGAAACAGGATACCAAGTTCCTACTCACTCAACACTTCAGTGATCTGTTGACAGCGGCGTTATGCACGGGGCAGGGCACTTAAATCTCAGTCGGACAGGTGAAGCCCTATGTCGGTTACGACTCGCGGGACCACAATTTGATAAGAGAATTTAATATTTTTTTATAGGCATAATGCACTCTAAAAAACTTCAAAAACAACGAACAGTCTGTGTCACCCCAAATCAGGTTTCCGTCTTTTCCGTCCCCCTTTGTCGAACAGCTTTTCATCTTGCTAGGCCTTCCGTCACGCTGGTCGTTTTTTGTTCGTGTTGTCAACTAGACCGTTACTGATGATATAAAAATGATGCTAACTGATGACAATGATGATGATTTATGATTTTTTTTAGTCTTGATATAGATCGTTTATAATGAAATTGTATAGGCCTAAATAAAAAATGATCACAAAGCTGTTGAAAAAAATGGTAACAAACTAATGTTGCTATATTCATATTATATTATCATTCTATCTCTATCTAGATCAAAATGAAGATACCAAGGAATATTATCATTGTTTCCAGTCATGCTGGGTGTTATGCATGACGTCAGTATATAGTTCATTCGATCCATGGATAACCGTAGGCCCACTGTTTTTAGGTCAAATTACCATGAACTTGCACAACAGCACCGACGATGCTCATAGACGGACGAGGTATTAGCATTGGTGTTCGAAAATGGCTATTCATATTATCTATTGTTGTGTATTCGGTTATTTGCTATAAATCGTACACAGCAGAGTGGTATACGACATCACCTTTGGTAAGTATGAGAATTTGCATGCATTAGTAACTGAGACGAGTCCACCCAACCTTACCCCCTCCCCGTTTATACTGTCAAAATAGTCAACAAAGAATACGTGACGCCTGTGTGGAATTTTTCATATACTGCGCAGAAGACAATATAGGCCGGTCACGGCAAAATTGGTCCGGGCCAAAAAATTGTACGGCGGACAGATTTTGGCCGGTCCGGGTTGATTTAGCCGCTAAAACCGGTCCCGCTTGGATAAAATTGGTCCGCGTCGGACTCTCCACTTAAATTTTAACTCGTCTGCTGCTCGTAGGTTATGATTGTTTCTCCCGTGCAGTGGAGGAAAATAATTTATGCTTCTCCCACACTCGCGAAGTCTTTTTATGATTCGTATTGAGCTTTTGAGGACGTGTTTTATCAAACCCACCTGATAATGCATTTCCTAGGCGATACACCCGGCGATACACACAGCATGCATCATTTCGGCGGCCGTGGTTAGGTCTAGGTTTGTGCCTAAAATGAAACACAAGACTGATGTATTAGTTTTAAATATTCAGGATTATTGTGTGGGGTATTAGATCATACAATAGATGTTCTAATACATGAAATGTAGGGGTCAGAATTCTTGAATTGAAAACAAGGTAAAAAAATTAACTAAGGCGGACCAACACGATTTAAGACCACATCATTTAAAAATCTTTTCGTACTTTTACACCAAGGGGTTTACTGGGCGCGAAGCTTTACTGAATTTCACCTATGATTTCATACATAACGAATGAAAACATATTATATAATGAGAGATAAGATATTTATCTATCATTTGATTAAAAAAACAATATATATGAACAACGTTATAAAAATACAAGTTATAACTACAAATAGACGCCGGACCGATTTTGGCTTATGGGGACTACATTTGGTAGGTAATTTTAAAGCCAAAATCGATCCGGCGGACCGACTTTGGCCCCGGACCAAATTTTTCCTGACAGGCCTACTAATGAATGTATTTGAATACTATATTTTATATATATTTATTTGTTATTACTGTATGTACAATTTTTATATTTTAATGCAATGAATTGTTTCCGCTCTGCTTTTCCTTTTTAAAATTGGACAATAAAATTAAATTGAAAAAATTGAAAAAAAAAATTGATGAAACTTGCATTTCATATCAGTCCATATCAGAGATCAGCAGATAACATTGAACCGGAAACAAGAATATTGCGGAAATTTAAAAAATTGCACTAAGCGCTCAACTCGGCGAGATAAGCACAAAGTGACAATCTCTGAAATAGACTAGAAAAAAAAATCAAAAAAGAGGCCTAGAAATCAAGTTAGGGGGAGTGGAATGTTAGAAGCAGTCAACATAGCCAGATATCCTAATTAACCCGTCCTGGTCACCCTAAGGCCTGTTGACACTTGATTTTTCACTTTGTATGCAAATGGCGGCCATTTTGAAAATTCCGCCAAATTTATCTAAAATGTGCATATAATTGGAACTAAATAAGCTACAGATATGATGTTGGTGTATAAACTAATTAATTTCTATACAGGCAACAAACCAGACATATAAAGACTACTGTCACTCATGCCAGAATGGAACATAATTCAAAAATAAGTGTTTATTTGTTTAAAATAACCGTAAAATATACTTAAAATGTGCATAAAATAAGAATAAGTATATAAACTCACCAAAAGTAGTCGTGTTTGGTATCGTTGGAAAGCGCTTCCGATGCTGAATAATGTATTGCTGTATAAATGGTGTAATTTTTTTGAATGAACAGCATAATGTGTCTCTGAGATCGACTGTAAGATATATCATAGTATATCCCGTAAAGGTTTAATGGGGGCCCTGTTGGCTTGGGGACCACTTAAATTTTCCAATTGTTTTAAAAATGGAAATTATACTCGCATTTTAAATCTATGTGTGCCATTTCCGGCCACTTCGAGGTGCCGTATATGACCTTGCCTTAGCCCCAACCATGCTGGGACTGAGGTGGCATAGGTGTGTGAAAGTCCCTCCCTATCCACATTCACTCTATTTTGAATACCTTGATCTGCAACTGATATATAATTTATTTCTTTGTTAAAAGCAATCTAGAATACAATGCCAAATATTAGAAAAACGAGCAAATTTAATTCCCACAATCAAAGTGGTGACCGGATCAAAAAGGGTCCCCCAGTCTGAGGATGCCAAAGGGCCCAAGGGCCTATCGTTAGGTCACTGCCGGTGTAGTGCCCAATCACCACCAGAGGGACCTCACTAGAAACAAGTATTCTTCCGACTTTTGTGGGTTATTCTTGGTGTTTACACCGAATATATCCATCCACCCAAAAGGGACAGATATAGAGTAAGAATTTTCCCAATTAGGTTTAGAAATGGTGGGGACCACAGACATTTAAACAAAATAGCATCATACAGCGACATCATACTCCCTTCTTTCTGGTCTTTCTTCTCTCTTTCTTCTTTATTTTTTGGGGGTTGGGATAGACCCGCGTCTCCTGGACCCACCCTGAAACGATTGATTGAATGATTCTTTGATAATACTTTTTATATTCGCAAAGCTAAGAAAATGCATGTGCATAGGCCTATGCATAGACCTAATATAAATATGTTGCACGCAAATATTCAAATTAAAAATGTGTGTGCAAAATATTATTCACACAACATTTTTTGGCATTGTCTAAAAATTAAAGTCTTTTCATCCTTAACACTTATCTCTAGGGGGATTACCCACCCCGGTGTCACTTCGTGAGCAAAAATATTTCACTGATATGCATGGTGCTCCTAACATTGTTTGGGCCTGGGACCCACGACTCGCCCTTGCACCACTGGGAGGACCATGTCTATTAATGTTATAACAAATCAATCAGCCAATCAAATATATTATACAGCACGTAACATAACGGTACCATTGTTCATAGTTACAAGTATTTACTGTATGTAGAATCATCAATAAATAGGGTAAAACAACATACTGTATTTGCCCTGGCCACCATGAAGTAAGAGTGGGGCCCCTTAGCCTATCCGGGGTTCATTTGGACTCGGATGAACTAAGCATTTCCCCAGAAAGCAGACTGGTGTACATATCTGGTCAAACCTCCATAGTAAAATGATGGGTCGTAGTTGGACTGACCCCTTCTAATAAATCAGTCAAGAGTGTGTGGGATTTTGTTCTATTTGATTTTTTTTGAAAATTATAGAAAAAGTTACCGTATGCGTTATGCACGATTAAGGCTCAATAGTAAAATGCTAGTTAGTAGTAAGAGTACCCACCCCTCCCCTACTCCACCCAGAGAGCTCACGAACATTAGGCAACTGGGTCCTGTTTATTTTTTAATAGTATGCCATAATCAGATTTACAGGACAATATATGAAAAAAATACACAGTTTCTGATATGTATATACCGGAAAGCATAGCTCATCATTGGCAGAGCTTTCAAATGATACCAAACACGACAACTTTTGGTAAGTTTGATTTTTTGATTTTTGACCTTTTGTGTCATGTGACTTTATATATTGGTCTATATCACTGTAAATATGTATCATGTTGTTTAGGTGTAATGACAATAAATGATCAGTGTATAATTCCCTTTCCATTGACACCAATCATGACCATGTTTTATGTGGTGCGTCAACCATCTTAAAATTCAAAATGGCGGTCGATGACGTTGGGAAAAAAGTGGCGCCTAAATTTTTTTAATTCAGCGCAGTAAAAATGATAAAATTAGTAAATAAAATCTATTTTTGCACAAAAATCTATCTGGATTACATAGAAAACTGTACTAGGAGCTTATATACTCGTTCTTATTTTATGTACATTTTAAGTATATTTTGCGATTACAAATAAACACCTATTTTTAAATTATGTTCCATTCTGGCTTGAGTGACAGTAGTTTTTATATGTCTAGTTTTTTGCCTGTCTATAAATTATGAGTTTAGACACCAAAATAATATCTGTAGCTTATTTAGTTCCAATTTTATGCACATTTTAGATAAATTTGGCGGCCATTTGAAAAATGGCCGCCATTTGTATACAAGGGGTAAAATCAAGTGTAAACAGGGCTTAGGGTGACCAGAAGGGATTAATTAGGATATCTGGCTTGCTTCTAACATTCCACTCCCCCTAACTCATTTTTTTCAGATTTTTTTTCTAGTCTAAAAGTTGAGTCATAATGTAAAAAGTTTTTATTAGGCAGGCGAGATAGCCGCAACCACACACTATTACATTGAAAAGTAATTAAAGTTGAAAATTTGCTGCATTAAGTGCTTAACTCGGCGAGATAAGCACTTTTGTGCAAAAAGTGACAATTTCTGAAAGTTAAGTCAAAATGTAAAATGTTTTTGTTATGCACCGTGAGATAGCCGCAAACACACACTATTTTGCATGTACAGTACTTTTAAAATCAATTAAGAGGTTTTTGCTTTTCTCCTCTTTTTGAATTTCACTTTTGTGTAAGCAATATTGCGACTACACTATTGTGAGTGGAAATAATACCGTCTAATTTACGATCAAACAGGACTATGGAGATAGGGAGCACACAAAACATTAGTTAGCATTTCGATTTCGCCAACATAAACGTGATTTACTTAATTTATCATTATCAGTGGCGGCTCCATGAGGAAAGCAAAATAGAAGGGGGACAATGAGGGACTTGCACAATTTGGGAGAGTAGATCACCTCAGGTTGGGGCTGAGGAAAGAAAATTTATGATTATGATACTCTAGATTGCCGGAAATGGGACTCTCAGACCTAAATTCTAATTAAAATTTTCCTTTTTTTTTCCATTAAAAAAAATTATTTTGAAAAATTTAGGGTCGGCTCGGCCCCACTTGAATCCGCCACTGATTATTATGACGTCATTGCGATATTGCGTCAACGTAACACTGGAGTTTGTAAAATTTTGGTATCACTAAATCGAAATAGATAGACATGTCCGTGTCAAAGGCTGTATAATTATTATTTAATAATTGCTATATAAAATTCAATTAACTAACTATATTTTTTTGAAATTAGAAAAAACAGTAATCCTATGTATGTAGATAATATTAAACACTAGTATAAACGTACTGGTCAGAATAATATACAAAAGGAATAAATCGTTTATAGTAGACGCTTCCAATTTTAACAACGTTCAGTACATTATTTTCACAATAAATTTAGCCTCTGATAACCGCTGCACCCATAAAATCGATCTAGTGTTTTCTGAGATGGTTACGAACTGTATAAACAATTGCGTTTTTACTCGGTTTTGGTCCGCAAAATACGTACCGCACTTGGAAAACTGAACAGACAACATTCATGAGTCATACGTAATTGTTACTCTTTCCATTCGCTATTAAAAAGTGGGGTTTTAATTATAGAAGGTTGGTGAAAAGTGGGGAGACAATCGAGTTGATGTCCCCCCCCCCCTACTTTGAAAGGTGGGGGGGGGAACGTGTCCCCCTGTCCTTCACCGATCGACGCCCATGGGCCCCTTCGAGCAAAAAACACCAACCGTATTCCGTTTATTTTACCGGGTAATCGCGCTGAGCACTCAGCGGGTGGTCGACCGTTCGAGCAAGTTTTAGCGTGTAAAGAAACTACTCTGGAAGTAAATTTCAACTTATCCCATTTGTTTACTTGCTACTATAACCGGCCCACGTACACACAGCGCGGCACGGTGGAACGATAATGTAGCTCAGTAACTTATAATGGCTGCTTTAAAATCTGTACGTAGGCTAGTTTATTCAAGTTTATTTCTCCGAATAATGGTAAATCTACAAATCGATCGCGTAGCTATGCTACTAAATTTAGATTTCGTCGTGCATGTATGAGGAGGCGAAGGAGAGCTGCAACCATGCCTGAGCCGTAACCTATTGAATTTCGCGCTGGGCTGTGGACAAAACTTTTGGAAAAACAATTAAGGTTGATTTATCATCGCCTCCGGCTCCATGTCATTCCATGCACGGTATACTACCCAGCAATTTGGTGGTCAAAATTGTCGCGGGTAATCCAGATGGTAAGGTAATTAGACTAGTGTCCGAGCGGTTTTAGAAAGTGTGTACCGGTGAATTAACTATTAAATCGCACGGATATTTTTTCGCTCGAACGGGCCCCATGTCATAGCATAACCAAAGAAATACGAAATAATCTAATCCTTCATTAGCAATTCACTTTCATCTAACCTGTTTTGCCAGTATTCTGCTATTCTTAAGCTTAAGCACGTGCATACGCCTTATACTGTTATTTTCATTTTTACTTGCATAAGCCATGGCGGTTAATTATATTACTGTATATAGATTACTGTATAATATAATATAATTATGCCCCATACCCAATTTTACTACCAGAACTTGATCTTGTCTTGACAGAATTCCTTTGAACGACATATTTCGGCACCGAGGCTCACCAACTTGGATTCAATTCGATACTCGAAAGCAGAAAAAACCCCGGATTCACTACTTTCATTTTCCATGAACAGCCAAACAAGCCTAGGTCACGTAGTCCAGGCGACATCACCTACAGAGGTCGGTTTGTCCAGCTATAATGCCTTTGACCTAAATGAAAATCATCTCGATGTAGACCTACAGGTAACAAGCCCACGAAAAAGTACATATCGAATCGTTGAACTACAGAATAAATACGTAATATGTGATACGCTACACGTGTTTATTGAGGCGCGCGATGACAGTAACCATCCTAAACATTTCGGTGGAGATTATTTCCGAGCTAGAATCTACAACAACCAGAAATTAAACGCGAGTTCTTCGAATAATGGACCAATAATTGATCATGGAAATGGTACATACAGCGCATATTTTACGTTGCCATGGATTGGGTTAGTTAACATAGAAGTGTCACTTATACTACCAAGTGAAGTTATCAGGATCCTGAAAAGAATATATCACGAACATCCATATCGAATGGTTTACGAGGGGAAATTTCAATTGGGAGGGAAAACAGAAATCACAAAATGCCACGTGCATATGAACACATCCGTACAGTTATGTAATTTTACTGATGAAGTCGCACATCAGCCATGGTTTTGTGAGAAACCAAAGCATCTACCGTGCTCTTCTTGGATTGAGCATCACGGTAACTCACCACTGACAGAGAGTATGTCCAATGGATTATTAATAGACGGGGAGCCGGCTGCGTTTAAAACGTAAGTGACCAATGAATGTATGCTTATGGCAATTATTCGATAATCATTGATAATAATAATGATGATTATGATGTTGATGATGATATGATGGTGATGATGACGACGATGTCGATATGATAGTGGTATGGCCAGCGGGGGGCCGGATGAATTTTTCCCCAGATAATTTTCTTTCCCCCCCCCCTCCCATTTTTAACCCCAAAAAGAGATTAAAAACCAAGATTCGTCAGGGAGAACAAAAAAGGATATGTATTTTCTACATAATTGTAGACTACCTATCTATAATATCGATTGAATAAGCCTCTGATTCGGGGCCACCCCAGCATATCCCTCCTAAAATT